TTGTTTTCAAGGAACATGCAAAGCGCAAGTATTTAATTAATTTTTGCATATTTTATCTGTTTGAATTTGTTGAAGCATGTTCGAGAGCTCTCACCGTCGCAGTCTCGGGCCGTCCGTCTCGGTCTCGGTCGTAAGCCACTGCTATCTTGACTTTGCCCCAGTGTTGAAATGCTTAAGCCATTGATTGCATCTAAAGTGGCGCTATTTATACGTTCGGCTTCATTTAAATAAATTTTAAATAAAGCACAGCCGACCAGCACAGACAGGGGCCAGGAGTGGTCAGTGGAACCAGCAGAAGTCACAGTCCAAGGCACAGTCCCAACCCCCAGACCCCCACACCAACACTTGGCCAATAAAGTTTGCCCGCGTCGGCCAGAAAGGGGAAATGTATGTTTGACCTATCACAGATAATGCCAGAGTATCTCCCAGGAATAGGGAGCATAACTTTGTGGCAACATTGCAAGTGAAAGAGTAACAAAAAAAAAAATGGCAAATATTTAGATTCGCTTACTCACTTGTATTTTAAAACATTATAATCAAGCAATTTAACAAATTCAAACTACGAGTACAGACTACAAATATCAATAAATAATATTCTCAATAAATCAACAGCAGCAAAAAAATCCAGCAAATATTTACCAATTCCCCGCAGAGGCGGTCCGATTTTATTTATAAAAATACCCAAAAAAAACAAAAGAACAGTAGAAGAGAAGAAGAGCAGAAGCAGAGTAGATATGTATGTACATGTAAACCTCTCTAAAGTGAGGCGAATTTTCCATTCCCACACAGATATAAGCTACGGCTCTATATACATTTTATAAAGTTCTTCCTGGGGTAAGCCAAATCGGAGTAGTTTCGTGTGTTACTTTGTTGGTCGGTGGCAAACTTTGTCGGCTATCTGTACATATGCACCTACACACAAACACATATATAGCTGCCACCTATATATATATGTACATTTAGCCTTAGGTGTACATGTGAATATATCTTTGTATATATACCCATTTCATAAATTGTCTTGCTGCTGCTACTGGACTGCTCGGCTCTGCTCTGCTCTGCTCTGCCTGTTCGTTCTTGTTCTTGTTCTTGCGTTGCTTTGTTCGAAAATCAATTATGCTGTCATTGTCATGCTTTTGACCTGCCCCCAGCTCAGCCCCCCACCTTAGACCCGACTTGAGCCTTCTCCGATCCCCCATCCGGCTGTCGATGGCCGACCTCAACTGTTATCACACCTAGCGCTGTTTAAAAACACGTTGCTCAAACATTGACTGTTGACGCCCCGGCCCGGCCCGAACCGGCCCGGACAAGCTGCCCCCAGTCTCCCATCCCATGCAATCTCTTCCCGTCTTGTGGCCGTGCCCGTGCCTGTGCCGTGCCGGCGATGATGGGGCTGGTGTGCTCCGCTCCGTGCTCCCTGCTCCCGCTTTACGTGCCCATAATGGACCCTCATCAGTCTCATTATTTATGCGACGTGCGGTTTCTTTGGATTTTGTTAGATTAAAAAGTGCCTGAGGGTTTTGTTGAGTGGCCCGAGCGTCACTGTGGTCAATTCGAGTATATGTATATGTCTGTAGTGTGTGTGTGTGTGTGTGTGTGGGTGTGTGTGTGTGTGCGTGTAAGGGTCCAAAGGTAAAGCGGGTCAGGTCGGTCAGGTATTGTCGTTCTGCCGGACTGCCACTGGCCCTGGCCCTGCTTGTTTATGACCTTAGCACGCGCCCCTTTCACCTCAGTGACTATTTGTTAAATTTACAAAACACTGGACAGGCCATGGGGTTCGATTGAAGGATACCCTCTGCACGGATCAGGCACACATTAATGGGTGCACGGCTCCCGAAAGTCAGTCCATATTCAGCGTGGATTCGCCCAGAGGAGGGTCCAAGGCTCCACACATATCTCCAATTGAATCAAAGTGTACACTAAAACAATCAAAAGACCCCCAAAGAACGAGTCCACCCCGCGGCCCGCCCCGAGAATAATGGGCCATAAACACAGTGTGGCGGGGCCCAGGCCGGCTAAAAGATTGGCATTAGTAATGTGTTTCCTTTTTTACTGCTGGCTGCTGACTGCTGACTGCCGGCTGCCGACTGCTAACTCTGGGCCTGGGACTGGGACTGGTGTAGGTTCTGGTAGCGGGGATTCTTGCACTGTTGGTGTTCAAAGATTAATGCGACAGCCATTGAATATTTATTAGTTGTTACTTTGCATATAATTTGTGGCCCCTGCTAACTGCCATTGATTTGGCCCGTTCTGTCGGGCAGAGGCTTACTCGTATTTAAATGTAGAACCTGTCAGGCTGTTGACTCTGCGGTTTTAATTTGTCAGAGTGCGCTAATAGGAAATTAATTTGCCAGAGTCAGGCACTCCGCTAACCAGGGAGTCGGTTGCCGCTGCTGCCGCTGCCCCTGTCGCTGCCTGCCCCCGGACACTTGTCCGTTCTGCGGTCAAGATAAATGGCGTCTGCTGCTGAAATATTAAAAAATATTCCAAGGGCTACCCCTCCTGCTACCGAAACACGAGCGTTAAAGCAATTACATTAAACAAAACAATAGCAGAAACAGAAGTAGAATCAGAATCAGAAGCAGAGTGGTGTAAGGCAGAGACACAAATAAACAAACAAACAAACTAAAGGGGGAAAGCACCAACACACACACGATGGCCAAAGGCAGAGGCAGTGGCAGAAACAGTGGCAGAGGCAAGACAAATTGTTGCAGCAGCTGCATGTTGTGCCAATAAACAAGGCCAAAAGCACAACGAAAGGAAGAAAGAAACAGAAACAAAATCAAAAGCAAATTAAATAAAAATAGAAATAAAATAGAGCAAACAAGGCAAACCAAATAATAAGAATATTGCATTAGTTTTAGTTCTGGCCCGAGGCCGAGCACGAAACCCGATTCCCAACTCCACAAGATGCCAATCGAGTGGTGGGGCTGAGACTCTGGGCCTCCGCCCCCGTCTGGGCAGCGGCTAAAAGCATTAACCGCACTGACAGCACAACAACCAACAAGCTGGTAACACACACGTATCCAAACATCCCACCACACATCCCAAACCGAAACCCAGATCCACACCCACACCCGGACAGCCAGGGACACATGCACTTGACTGCATCGGCGGTCCAGAGCTGGTGACACGCTCTTACATTGGCGACAACATGCTGCTACAGCCAAGAGGCAGCGGCATCCGAACGGCATTGGGATTGGTATTGCTTGCCCGAAAGCAAAATGTTTTTACACTTAAAGACAAAACCAGAGATTCGCCCCGAACACAGAGCAATCTGCCTGTTGGAGGTTGAGACCGATTCCCTCTCACGCTTCCAGCTGCAACTATGCTCCGAGTCTGGGCAGGGTCTGGGCTCCCAACATTGAAACGTTTGCGGCTGCGGTCTGTACTTTTTGGTCTTTGAAGCTATGCAGCTGTGTGGGGGGAGGTGTGGGATAGGGATAGTGGGTGGATGCAGGGTGCAGTGTAGAGGTTGGAGGGCAACCCCTAGCCAACTCCCTTTGCAAGCTGTTGTCGCTTTCATCCTCATCCTGGCATTGCATTGACAGAAGATTAGTGTGAAGCAACAATGTGAAAACAGCGCTGCAGGGGTGCTCACAGATGCGGGTACTCATACACGTGCACTGCACAGTGTACAGACACACACACACAGACACCAGACACACACAGACAACTGCAGTTGCAGCGGAAATGGATGACAGGGCAGAGTGGAAGACATTTTTATTGCGGGTGCGTTTGCTTTTTAAGTTGTTCCGAATTGCATTTGCCAGTGCTGCCGCTTTCCGCTTCCCAGCAGATCCGCTCAAAGATTACATAATTTAACGAAATTTAATAAACATCAACACCAACTGTGTCGCTGGGGGCCCTGGAGGCAAGCGTTCGAAGAGCGGACAGCCAGCGCGGTCTTAAGCTTTATTAAATTTCACGCACGCCAAGCTCGCTGCCAAAACCTGCAAATGAATGCACATGCGACAGAGCTTCCACTGCTGCCACTGCTGCTTCCACTGCTGCTGCTGCCACTGCTGCTGCTGCTGCTGGTGAATGTTGATGTTGCCAGCATTGGCCATGGCGAGATGGCGGTGGCAACGCTATGGAATAGGGTGCAAAATGCTGCCACATCTGCATATAAATTCCTCTCATTTCTGTTCGCACTCCGACGGGCAGGCAGTGCGACGGCAGCTTACACACTTTTTCACCAACCCCACCGCACCACTCCTCGTGGGTGTGTTGCTGTTGCTTTTTCTGTTGCTGCCAATATTTGCATTTGCATTCTATTCCACTTTTTTCAACGCTATTGTCGCCGCCGTGTGCAGTTGTTGCTGCACCTTCTGCCCCTGTCCCTGTCCCAGTCCCCTGTTCCCTGCCCTTACACTGTTTACATAAACATTTTTTTTTCGACACAAAAACATTTCGTTGCACAAATTTACATTTAAATTAAATTTTAAGTGCATTCTCAAATAAACTAAGTTGCTGCCAGCATTTTTTGGGGGCGGTGTGTAGGCGGTGGGGGGCTGCAATCAAAACTCAATGCGTGCACTTTGCGCTTACGGTCGGTGCGATATAAGTCGTCGGTAGGGTAGACGGGGGCTGCCAGGGGCGGTCCTGTCAACGACAGGTTAAATGCCACCAACATGGCGGACATTGTTGCTCAGTGGCCGTTGCTCCGTGCATGTGTGAGAATCATGGGAAGGGGTGAGGGCCTACAACAGCAGCGGCAGCAGCAGCAGCAGCCATGCCGTCATATGGTCATATTGATTGTTATCAATTTTGGTTATTACATGGCCAAGCGCTTGCCATTTTCATGGCGATTTTTCACTTGTACGGGCATGCCCAATGCCAAAGGGCATAAATCGAGGTGAATGTGTTCTGTGGACCTGTACGTGAGCCAGAGCGTAGCTGCTCCAAGATCACACAAAACTCGAGCAATGACCCAGCCAATAAATTATTTAGCAAATATTAAACCACTTTATTTGCAGCAACTGCCAAACGATCACTGCTGTTCATTGGGTTAGAAGAAACATGTCCGGCTGGGGAAAGTTTGGGGGGCAGGGTCCCAGTCCCAGTGGCAGTAGCAGTAGCAGCAAAAGGAGCAGAAGTTTGGCTCCAGTTTCGGCTTCCTCAACTGGTCCCAAATGAGGATTGGGAGCAAGTGGAAGAAACACCATAAAACATTACTGCTGAAACTTTCTCTATGCATTTTTGATTGTTCTCAATTGTTTGGCAATTGTTGCAGGGTATCTCATGGTCCATTACCCAGCACTGCGGCAAAATGTTTTCCATTTCAGCTCTCGCACGGAATTTGTTTCTTGTTTTCTTGTGTGTTTTTTGTTCATTTTTTGCTGTGTGTTTTGTGTTAGATTTGGCAACAGCATATAGATTTGTGTTTCTGATTTTTATTGCAGTCGAGTGCATCGATTATACCTAACAGCAAATTGAACTAATAAACGAGATTTATAAATAAATACTTGCCGCAAGCTTATTGGTTATTTATTTTTAGAAAATGCCTCAAATCCAGACCGACGTAAACAAACCGTAGCTAAGACAGAAACTGCATTCGAAGCGCATCCGGTAAAGTAATACGATACCACGTCAGGTGTGCATTTGGGCGTAAAAATTTTCATCTGCTCGTATTCTCTGGTCAAAAATAAATGTATCTTATCGGGCTGCCACACACTGAAACAGACACGGACACAGACACAGGCCAGAAAGAACCAAAAGTTGCAATCACCATTGACGTGGCCTTTGCAATTTGAATTCATAAGGAAATAATTACAAAGGCAAAGGCAAAGGCAAAGCCAGCGACAGCAGCAGCAGCAGCAGTAGCAGCAGACGATGGCATATCATTCCATTTACTGCTTAATTTATATATTGCTCGGCAAATAAATACTCGTAAAATGATGAAAAAGCAAACTGGAAGGGGCAGAATCCCAGAGCAGAGCAGCGGGCGGCAAAGTAGCTCCGTGCAAGGAGTCGCCGCTTCTGGAAAGGGGACAAACGAAAATTAATGACAAAATTTAATGGACACTTGTGTACGCCACGCCCTCGAGTCGCCCCCGCTGAGAGTGCGTGGATATGTTTACACACACTTGTGCAGTTGTACTTGTACACCGAGAGGTGGGGCATCGAAGCGATGGAAGAGATGGAGCGCGGGAACAAACCCAACTGGGAGTGAAGTGAAGTTTACTTATACAGTTAAGTATGCGTCGTATTTAATGGAGCGAAATTGCATGCCACGCAGCAGCATATATAGTAGAAGCAGCCAGCAGCCAGCAGCAACTGCAACTGCAACGGCAACTACAGCAGAACAAATGCGCGAACGCGAACGCGAACAAACAACAAAATGTTAAGATTGTCTGACGGCAGCCGCTTATGAAGCACCCTACTCGAAGACGGCACTCGAAGCGAAGGACAAACTTAATAACGTCGGAGCTGTTGGCTGCGGATGGGGGCTGGGTGTTGGGGGCTGGCGTCTGACGGTTGAGGTTGTGGCCAGAGTGTCTGGATTGTCTTGAGTGGCTGGAGTGGTGTTCCCTGATTAGCTACAGGTTATCCTGAAGGAGCAACGCGAGCAAGTAAGTATGTTGTAATGAAGCCTGAACCTGCCGGCAGCTCGCCAAAGAGATGTTGGAATAGTTCAAGTGGCACAGCAGCACAGCAGCATAATAAGTTTTGGGGCTTGTATGGTGAGGCTTATTAAGCTGGATACCTGAACTATTTTGAAAAATGCTCATAATTGAGCCGCATCCTTTTAGGCAGCTTCTTCGGCTCAGCCACCACCAAACCATTCCATCCGATGGAGTGCTCGGAAAAACTCTTCTTCTGAGGCTCTCTCCAACAAGAAGACGTTGCCGCCTTATGCAAAAGAACTTTCAGCTCATTAACTTAAAAACTTGTGGCGCACTCTCGAGCCAGATCTCAGGATTCGTCTTAATACTTGTGCCAGGGAAGGCAAGACAAGGCAAGGCATGGCAAGGCATCCAGCATGCATGACAAAGCCCACGCTGCAGCACAACAACCTGCCAGAGATGAACTGAGCCGAGCTGTTTCTGTGTAGAGCACTTAAAAAAATACCGCAGCATTTTTAATTTACTACAGAAATTACAAACGAACGTCGGGCGGACGGACGAACGGACGGACGGACCCCTAGTACTACTCTGAGCTCTGAGCTCCAAGCTCCGTGCTGTGCAGCGTGAGAAAAAGTGTTTTTCTTGAAAGGAGAAGGAAAACAAACTGCAGAAGCATCAGCACCAGCAACAGCAGTTGGGAAAAAGTGAAAAAAAATGAAAATATAAATAAATAAACCGAGGTCGAATGCGCTCATTCATGTGCTGCCGCTGCTGCTGCTGCTACTGCTGCTGCACTCTCGTCCTGCACTCAAACATTACGCCAGTCAGTCAAGTCACTTTGTCATTCCGAGTGGCGCCGCAGCATCAAGCTCACACATTTGCATGACGTCACAAGTCGATGCGGGAGCCGCAGTCGGTATGCAGACAGCAGGATATACGGGATACGAAATACGGAATATGGGATATGTACAGAGAGAGAGAGAGAGAGATGCAGAGAGCGATGAGATGGAGATAGAGTTGGAGTTTTTGCGGGCGTCTGAATTCTTCGTTTTAATTTTTTCGTTCGCCAGAGTCGACGTTCTTGTTGGCTCTGTGCTGGCAGCGTGTATATTTAATTAAAACAGGATTAATCTAGCAGAAACAATACTTCACTAAATGCAGCAGCAGCAGCAGGCTGCTCTGCCTGTGGTCCAGACCCGAGTCCCCTCTCACATCCAGCTCCAGCCCCCAGCGTGGCTGCAGCTTCAGCTTTGCCTGCTGCCTGCGGCTTGGCTAACAGACTCGTTGGTTTGCCTGGCAGGCGAATTCGGTTGGGTTGGTCGTGGAGGCTGCTCGACTGGTCCGGGCTTAACACAAACAATGCCGTTGACTGCTCATGCAAAGCAACACACACACAAGCACATACAGACACCCGCACACACATACACATACATATATAGGCAGAGAGGGTGCAGTGGGAGTGCGTTCTTAATGCACTGCGACCCCAAAAAGTAGACTACACTTTTGATACGTTATGCATATCCCTCAGAGGCGCCGCCGACAGCTTAGTAGCGGGCTTTCCATCATTCAACTTCAGTGTCGAGCGTTGCGCTCCTCTGCGCTGCGCTGCGTTGCCAATCAAGGAAATTGCGTGCTCACATGTTAAACGGTGGACAGGAGCACAGGAGGACAGGAGGACAATGGGACGGGTGGGGACAGAGCGACAGAAAAGAAAACAGGAACAGGATAAGCGAGAAAGAAAAACAGCAAAGTGGGTAAAACGTTTTTCGGCCATTTACTATCGACTTTAATTAATATTTACCTTCAGCTAGCTTCCGCCTCGTCCTCGTCCTTGTCCCCCCACTCTCATCATCAATCCCCCCGTCCACTGTCCCCACCTCGGCCAGCTATTAGCCGGGGTAAACAGTTTTAACAGCTTTTGGGATATTTTGACTTTGAGACCCATCATCGGCCACATCAAAACTTGACTCGAGCACAAGTCAAACGGAGGGCAAATAAACAAAATATATGCCAAAGCAGTAGCAGTAGCAAGTTTTCGCTCCTGCTTCATTTTTAATATTTTGACCGAAAGAAAAACAACTCAAACAAAATGGAAAAAAGACGAAGCAGAGTCAGAGCCAGAGTCAGAGCCAGAATGAAATCCAAGAGCCAAAAACCAAGAACCAAGAACCAGAACAAGAGCCAAACCTAGCAAAAATCCACACCAGGAAGTGCTCAACACAGGCAATGCCAACAGCAACGGCAATGGCAACGGCGACGGCAGCAGCAGAGGCAGAGGCAGGCAAAAACAACGGCAACATGAGTCGAAATTGTAGTTGTACAAACACGTCAGCTTTTAAATTACTTGGCCTAAAGGTAAATTGAGCGGAAGTTAAAATGTTGGAAAAACAGCACGAAAAAAGCAAAACCAAAACAGCAGCAGAGGCAGCCGAGGCAGAAGAGGCAGAGGTGCGGTTGGTATTGGTGGTGGTGGTGATGGTGATGGTGTTCGGTGGATTGTGGATCGTGGGTGGCGTAACGGAATACAGCCGGGCCAGGGCAAAACGTTAAGTGGGAAAAGGGAAGAGTGGTGTCCATAACAACAACACCAGGACCCGTACTCAGAGTCGGAGCAGAGGAGCAGGAGCAGAGGAAGGAACCGGACCAAGAGCAGGCGAAAGGCGGCACACGGCAAATTTGCCGGGAGTAAACGCAAGAATAATAACAACCGAAAGCAAGTTTTTCGGCTCAAGTTGTAGTTGTTGTTGTTGTTGCTGCTTCTACTGCTGGTGCTGCTGCTGCTGCTGCTGCTATGAAATTCAGTGGCATACAAAACGTAATTTCAACTAAACGAACCGACAAACAGAAACAAACAACACAGCAGCAACAGAAACAGAAACAGCAACGAAATATTATTTTAGGTGGCTTGCATCCTTCCTGAAGCCTTGCGGCTACCAGGAGCTGCTACTCCCCAGCCCCGGTCCCAGCCCCAGCCCCAACCGCGTCCTCGCATTCACATGCGAGCGGGATAAGTTGGCGAAATTGTGCAATAATAAAATATTTGCAATGTACTCGAAGCGCGGCCGCCGACTCGAGGTTGCCCCCGCTACGCGCCTTCGTCCAGGCCGTAGCAGTGGCAGTGGCAGTGGCAACTCTAACGACAGCGGGATGGCAACTGCATTTTCATAAAGTGCAGCTCATAATAAACCTGCGGGTGGCTGGCAGATCGGTGTGTATGCCGCGGGCCCGAAATAAAAAAGGGAAAACAAATATATGGCCAGCAGCCGGAGGCAGCCGACGCGGCGGCAACAAGCCGAACCAGAACAAACAACAATGGTAAGACGAAAAAGGAACTAAAAAGAACAGAACAGAGCAGGACAGAACAGAACAGAGCAGAGCATAGCGAAACAAAACCATGGAAAAAACAAAAATATAATAAAGCCCGCGAAAATATTTGCAGCGGGCATTGAGAAATGTTGCGCAATAAAAATTGCATTTTTATGCTGATGTTTGAATTTTGCATGCAAATGAAAAACGAACAGTGCCAACCGAAAAATAACGGCCAGGACTCACGTACAGCCAAGAGGGGTTCGACCTCACGTTACCCGATATCTGGAACAACACTATCCATTTCAATGGGGGAACTTGCAGTATTTGTACTGCTGTAATGGATGCGCGATTTTTCAGGGGCGTTCTACAGTGCAACAAATCTCTGGTAGATACTGCCGTTAAAGTGAAATCTTATTGACTTGCATTTATGGTTGAGTTATCTGGGAATACTCACACTCACTGCGACTAAATGTATTGCATCTAATATGCCCCCTCTGATACCCTCTGTCTATCGCGGAGACAACCAGCACAGAGGCAGCAACAAAATGGTGTGGAAAAAAGGGCCAGGCTAGGAATCTCTGGGCCGGAAGTGCCGTTGCTGTTGCCTTTGCCTTTGCCGCTACTGCTGCTGCTGCTGCTGCTGCCACTGACAGTGGCAGCGCCTGCTTCGCGGCTTAGCTGAGACTTTGCGCCCACGCTCCACGTGTTTATGACTTTGAATTGCAACTTCATCCGCCGGGTGGGCCACTAACGTTGTTGTAGCTGAAGCTAGAGCCGTAGTCATAGTCATAGTCATAGTCATAGCTGTTGCTGCTGCCGTGTGCCGTGCCGTTTGCTGTCGAGTGCAATGATGGCGGCGCATAGCGCGCATTGTGACGCGAAATGGCGTCGAGCTGAATAATCCAACATGGCGTTTTGCCGACGCCGCCGCCGAGGGCTCAGTATTTGTGTTGTGTCTGTGTGTGTATGCCTGTGTATGTATGCCTGTGTGTGTCTATATAAGTCTGTGCACCGCCATGAGCTGTTGTGTTTGTGTGTGTTGTGTTGTCTGTTTCCGGCAGCCGGATAAAAAACTTGGCGTTAAAGTGTTAATATTTTGAGTTTTGAGAGCGTCGCGCCGCGCCGTAGTTGGACTGGCGGGACATGCAAATGCTGTACAACAACATCTGAGAGGCGGGGGCCACGGGCGGCAGAACGACAGCTTCGACGCTGTTTCCCCTCGACGCTGACACTTGTTCAATTCAAATAGCACGCCAGAGCCCAGACATTGATGTCCTGGCACGGCATTTCGCCGGTGCGCTACTCCACTCCGCTCCGCTCCCCACAGCTGCAGCCCTCGTCGCTTCGCTTCCACGCCCCGCCTCGCTTCGAGCCCAGTCAAAGTCCATGGCGTGCCAGGCGAGCCGCATTTATGTTATCTTTAATTTTTCATGACGAAATTGGCCGTGGGAGTGCAGTTCCGATTGCAGAACTACAAGCTTGTTTACGAGTACGTGTGTTGCACCAGGAGTCGGCCCCAAAGGGAGCCGTCATTAGGGGACGAATCACTGCCAAAACCAGTTAATATTTTTACTTTAAAATGCAAATAGCCTTTTGCCGTAATACAAATGTTTAACATAGTTGCCATTATGGATAAATTAATAATATCTGTGATTGGAAGTGACGGCTTCATCATTTTCGGTTGCCTTTGAACCAATTGCACAGGCTGCAGACATTTGTCGTTTGAACTACTTGGAGCCTCGATGGGCAAATTAATTGGGCAAATATTGAGTTTCGCGGCGCGCTGTTATGCTCAGGTGGACCCAATTAAATGCACTGACTGAACCACTGCGGGTTAAGTTCCATCGAGTAGAAAGACAAGCTCAATATGCACATCAGTTTCGGAAGTAATTACCTATAATTAAGTTCGTTTAAATTGATTAAAGCAATGGAAATTGCTTTCAGAAGCTGGAAGCTAAAGCTTCAAATGAAACACTATAGTCATGTGGTTAAGATGTTTGACTGTACTTAGCAAAGACTTGGATTAGTTTGTGTTATATTAGACTTGTGGATACAAAGTTTATCGGTATTCATATGGCAATTAATTTTGGCTTATTCTCACAGCTCCCTTTTTGGTAAGTGTCTGATTGAGCGGTGTAAATTTCCGTTTTACTTAAAAATTAATTATCAGCCAACTGAATCTTGCTGTTGATTTTGGCGAACAGCCCGGACGGACCGGACGGCTGGCCTGGTCATGTCACATTAACCATACGCACTGTGTGCATAGCGCATAACTGCAGGCCAGCCAAGCAATCAACCAAGCTGCCCTCCACTCCACCAGCCAGCCAGCCAGAAAGGCAGCCAACCGGCAAACCGACAAACCGACAAACCAATCCCAGAGTCCAGGCAGGCCAAACAACTTGCCAGACAGCAGACACCAGACAGCAGCAGCAGCAGCAGCAGTACCAGCAGCATCAGGAGAAACTGTGCAAATTGTCAGGCCAGCATTTAAAACCAGTTCCCATCAATTTAAGCGGACATATGCTTAACTTTACTTGCGGTGATTTTTCAACTTGGCCCAACAGCAGAGTTGCAGGTAGTTGCAGTGGCTGTGGCGTTGGCAGTGGCAGTGCCAGTACCTGAAACCTCAGTATCCTCCACTCTACTCTCGACTCTCTCCTCTGTCCTCTGTCCTCTTCCCACTGTGCTCGGTCCACTCACTCACTCACTCTCTCTCTTCATCCGAGTCTGTCTGGAGTGCTTTGCACATTGACAGCGTTAATTAACTTTTAATTTAATTTCGCGTAAATGAGTTTTTACTGTCAGCGCGCGTTGCTTTATTTAAGCTGACAAAAAGCGTAATTTGCAATGCAAGAGGTTTGGACCGTTGGATTGGTCGAAGCCGGAGGATTGCCGTGATGTTCAATAGGCGGGCAGAGGGCGCGGGTAGTTTGCTTTTAAGCGCGGTTTACAAATGTGGCTGCTAGCCAGCCAGCCAGCCAGCCAGCCAGTGTCAATTTATGCCGCCAAAGTGAAAATCCAAGCTGAAAGATTTATGCAGCCGACACACACACAAAAAACACATGAAGGCAGGCATACGTACATAAATACCTACATACATACATATGTACATATATATGTATGTATATTATTTATATTTTTCGCTGGCAAATGTGATTTATTCGAAAATCTGAGCAACAACAGAAAAAGCAACAAGCATCACTGTCGCTGGCTATGCGTGTGAAATATTTTGCGGCGTTTGAGCTTTTTAAATTCAATTTTCAGCGCGCACACACACAGCCACACACAGCCACAGATACACAGCCATGCAAAGTCACCACCACACAAGGATATGGTGCAAGGAGAGAGAGAAGCAGAGCGAGATGCAAAGCGAGATTCAGATGCCGATGGCAATGTCGACAGTCGAATGCCACTGCCAGCACCAGCCGTTGCATAAATAAGCGCTTTAGACCACTGTGCAGTCAGAGTAGGGAGCAACGGGACAGAAAATCAGAGACAGAGAGGGAGAGAGAGTGTGAGAGAATCTGGGGGGAGGCAGTGGGGCAGGCCCCACAGAAGGTGTGTGTTTTATTAATTGCCAGCGCCAATGCCGCAGCCGCCGCAGCAGCCGCGATGAAGAGAAATATGCGAGCGATGCACGCATGCGGTTCCTTCAGTTTCCACGTTTCATTTTTTGTTTTTTTTTTTTTTGTATCCAACTCGCCGCTCTGCACCGCTCAGCTCTCCTTTCCGGCACTCACCGCACAAAGTGGTGCTCTCAACGAGTCCGCGTCCGCGTCCGAGGGCCCGTCACGTTATATCGTTAATGAAAACTGATTCTAGTGTCATTAACGTGCGAGCTTTTCAGACCAATGGCTACACGTTTGAGTGCAACGCGAGCAGGAGTATCTTCAAGCCTCCTTATCCTCCACATCCACATCCTACTGCCTCTGCTGCTGCTGCTCCAGTTGGTTCGCTGCTCCATCGCCACCGGGCATGACGAGTCATTTAAACTGATGCGTCGCCGACTGAGAGAGCAACTGATTGCGCCCTGCCACTCTCTCTGTCTCTGTCACCATCACTGCCACTTCGCTCGCGTTACCCTACTCTCTCCGATGGCACCCCTTCATATTGTCCTTCTCGTTACTGAACCTGCTGACGACTTAATGACAGTCATACAAAATACGACAACGGTGCGAAAATTGCAAGGCTCCGGTGCTACGGCGCCGCTCTCGATGATTACCTTTTAATGCAAATATAAAAAATGAAAGAACAACATAAACGATCTCAATGCGTAAAGCCGACGTATCAAATGCACTCAAAGATCATGGTAAGAAAACAATTAGTGTTGTCAGTGTGACTTAAAGACTTAAAGAACGGATGTGGAACATTTGGAGAAGTCTTTGTTTCAAATTAAGTTAAATTTTTATGTTTTGCTATTAAACATTTTCGATCGATGTAACTGCGGACCCAATTTGTATTTAAAAGAAGGCTAGAACTACTCACAGACGGAGGCTTTAAGCCTGTATGGATTTCTTATTGAGTAAGTGCATAAATCCAAACACATTTCGAAAGATTGAATCACAAAATCCACCACCGCTACGTAAATGATTAAATTTTGGATAAGATTGTAATGGGAAAGTGCAGGCACCGCGACACAGTTGGGCGAGGGGAGCGAGGACAGCCGGAGACAGCTACTGCAGAAGGGGAAGGGCTGAATGCAGAGGCAGTGGCAGCAGCAGAAGCAGAGTCACTCTGCCCGTTGCCCGCTGGGACATGTGCGTTAATGTGTGAGTGCGGGGCGGTAGAGTGTCATTAAATTAATTTGTCAAATATGTATAAAATAATAAATTACCTTTTTGTCAGTTACTCGTTTATTAATTTGTACATGGCAACAACTTTTCGGCCTGCCTGCCAAATGGAGCCCGAACAAGGCGAAAAAAGCGAGCAAAAAAAAAGCGGGATCCCAAAAACAAGGACGAGGCAGTGTCCAGAAGTCAACTAGCGTAAAAAATTATGATGTGTAAAAAGCAAACACACGCGAAAATAAAGCGACGAAAACTGTGTGTGTCTGTGTGTGTGTGTGTGGATGAGGGATGTGGTACGGATGTGGGATGAATGTGGCAGGAATGTGGGTATGGTCTGGGTGGCATGGCGAATCGGACAAATTGCCAGCCTGCTCATCGTGTATCATTTAATAGAAACCCGGAGCGATGCACGTCACATATTTTTTGGGCATTTTTATTGCACGGCACTGGTCGGGGGGAGCTGAATGATTTATGATTTATTCAATACAACGGAAAAAAACGAGGAGACGAACTGCTTGTGTGGAGAGACTGTCTGTTAAATTATTTTTTAATGTGTCTATTAAAAAATACAACAGCTGCATCAACAACTGACAATGCAGCAGTGGCAGCAGCAGCAACAACATCAATGATTCTCCTACGAGTTGCAACAATGGTTCATGCCGTCGGCAGCCGCAGCGGTGGTAGCTGCAGTTGGATCAAATACATTGGTCCGGGGGCTCAACACCGACTCCCCGACCGACTGCCGTGTTGGACCTGGTCGGGTTGGGGATTTGGCGCCGGCATTAACATGGAACCAATATAAATGGCATGCCAAATTGTAGTGGATGAACAAATTTGCCGCTTCATATGCGAGCGGGCAATAAAAACTTGTAGAGCCAACGCCAAATGCGATTTGGTGGGGGCATTTGTTTTAAATTACCCTGGCGTGTAAGTGATGAACAAGTGAGCCCCCGTATTCGTATCCACATACCATACGTGGCTGTTTCTGTGTCTATGTGTGTTGGTCTGAGCCAGTGTAACAACAAATTGAGCAGTCGGCATACAAAACAAAAAAAAAAACAAATAAATTGGGCCGCTCTGGCTCAGCCCCATCCCCCACGCGCGAAAGTGGAGCAACGCCCTCGCCACTGGGAGGCACAAGTGGATTTAGAAGGGCCAGTCCCGTGATGAGCCATAAAACTATTGCAGTTATTTGGACTAGATTGGACTGCACGGGAAAAGACACACAGATACGAGTACTTATGGGATAAACTGAATGTTCACCAAATAAATATTATTGCTGGCAGGAGGGGAAGGGAAGTCTGTTGCTCTGATTGCTACGAAGGTACTGCAGCGATGTTTATTATTATTTTCCTAAAGAACACGGACACCAGGGGCAAGATGAACAACAGAAAGGCTTGCTATAGGCTCAGTAAATATCTGAAACAACAATGCAACTCGTGTTGCAATCAATTACTATATATTTATATTGAAAACAATATTTTAGCACTTGCAAACACA